TGATTTGTCTAGGGTATACAGAAAATGTGATAGTGTTGGAACCACGTCCAGACTGACCCTGTGCTCCTTTCTCAATAGCTAATGCCCAGCCATACATGAGGTCCAAAGGAGAGCAGCTCCCCACATCATGACTGGTGGCAGAGTCCAGGCTTCTTGCCTCCTTGTTCAGGACTTTCCCATCCAAGTGCCCTATGATTAGCACTAGATTCCATAACTAAAAACTGTTCCTGTGCTTCTGGCTGGGGGGGGGGGGGGCCGGGTGCTGGCTAGTGCTGCCTGCACTCAAGAAAACTCTGTGTGTGTGCATGGTACTGGGGTCAAACCCAGGGCCTCCTGCATATTGGATAAATACTCTACCACTAGGCTACAACCCCAGCTCTTTTAAATTTTATTCTTTTTTTTTAATATTTATTTTTAGTTTTTTAAGTGGACACAATATCTTTATTTTATTTTTACGTGGTGCTGAGAATCGAACCTAGTGCCTCACGCATGCTAGGCGATCGCGCTACCACTTGAGCCACACCCCCAGCCCATTAAATTTTATTCTTAAGACAGGGTCTTAAATTTTATTTTGAAACAAGCTGGTCTTGAATTTGCAATCCTCCTATATCAGCCTCTCAAACAGCAAAGACTACATCGCTGTGCCACTGTGCGCAGCTCAAAAGAACCCTGAAGTCATTCTATCCATTTCTCTGCCTCTAAACCATATCAAATCTAAGCAACCTCAAAACAGTGTGAACTGAGCCAGCAATTCCACTACTAGGTAAAGACCCAAGAAAACTGAAGATATATTCATGCAAAAATGTGCCCATGAATTTCTACAGCATTATACCTAATAGCTCAAAAGTGGGAACAATTCCAATGTCTGTCAACTAATGAAAAAATAACCTGTGGTCTACCACATAATAGAACATTATTCAGGCATAAAAAGGAATGAAGCACTGATACGTGCTATAAATGGATAACTTTGAAAACATAAGTAAAAAAATTCAGACACAGAAGACCACATATTATAAATTCCCTTTATATGAAATGCCCAGAAAAGGCAAATCCATAGAGACAGAAAATATGTTAGTGGTTGCTAAGGGCTGCAGGCAGTAAGAGTGGGAGTGACTACTACTGTTTCTTTTTAGGGTGATAAGAATGTTCTGGAATGAGGGACCCAACACTGAATATACTAAAAACCACTGAATTGTACGCTTTAAAAGGACAAGTTTTGGGGCTGGGGATGTGGCTCAAGCGGTAGCGCGCTCGCCTGGCATGCGTGCGGCCCGGGTTCGATCCTCAGAACCACATACAAACAAAGATGTTGTGCCCGCCGATAATTAAAATAAATAAATAAATATTAAAAAAAATAAAAATAAAAAAAAATAAAAGGACAAGTTTTATGGCATGTGAATTATATGTAAAAAATAAAACTATAATACAATCCAAAACAGTGCGAATGAGAGACAAGTAGAGACAAGTGAGACAAGTAGAGTTTTATTCTCTAAATTCAAGTTTCTAGACCAGAAATGCCTACAAATATACTCAATGTACATTTCCCAAGTTCCACCAAAATAATATTCCCAAGAGCAGTTTTACATAAAGAATGAGATAGGAGCCTGCTTCTCAATTTAGACCTAGCCAGATCAATTCCATATCCTATAATTTTATAGGGTAGGATGGGAGGAAGGCAAGAAAATTTTAAAAAGAACTTCAGTTTATAGGGGCTACCTTCTCCTATGGTGGGAGAAGTCTTGCCCTGCAGGTTCAGAAAACAGCCACTGTGCTAAGACCACCTGGGAGGTAGCAGCCCAACCCTTGGGGAAAAAGAACTATTCACCAAGCTAAAAGAGAGAGGGAAAGGGGGGCTGTGGATATAGCTCAGTTGGTAGAGTGCTTACCTCCCATGCATAAAGCCCTGGGTTCAATCCCTAGCACTGCCAAAAAAAGAAAGAAAAAAAAATGGGGGGGGGGGAGGGAAGCCCTGTAGTCACAACCTGAATTTTCAAAACAAAAGAACAAAGCAAAAACCCCAGCCTGTTCCCATGGCCACTGAATCCACTAGCTCAGTTCCTCTTTGGTTGTATGACCTGCTTCAGGAACCTGTGCACCCCAAATTAGATCCCACACACCCCATCCCCAATGGTTGTGAAACAGTCTATGTGTATGAAGATGTGGGGACCATTGTGACTTCCGCGTAATAAAGTGCTTGACACAGACCAAACTCAGTCTAATTTTAAGTCCAATTTTAAAAATATGTATTGCTAACTTATAACCTCTTAAAAAACCTCTGAACAGGGTAGGAATTTCCATTTTGCCCATTACACATACACCCCTATAACAATACTTTCATTCTTTCTCTGCACCAAAGTGTAGGTTTTATGCACTCTTCAGACTGGCCTCTGGGAGTCACTGTTTATATCACATACTCCATTTCTTAAAATTGGCTACGGTTTTCAAATGAAAGTGCAGTATAATATTCCCAGGTGGCACACTAAATCATTGTGCTAAGGATAAAATCCAAACTCATTTCCATGGGTTGTCTGCAGCATGAGAACAAACTGGTTCTCTTAATGTATTGTCCTGGAGGGACAGGAAGCATGAAGAACTTAAGAGAACAACAATCTATTTCAAAATACAGTTCGAAGACTACAAACTGTAGGCTACAACTCACCCCGATTTTAAGTCTGCTTCTAGGTACACATTTACTCTTGCCTCAGTCCAATTTCATCTTGTGTCATTGTCTCCTACCCCCACCTATCAACATGCTTCAGATCCTCTACCCTGTGTTCCTCAAATGTGCCAAGCTCTCTATCTTGGCCTTTAGGTTTACCATTTCCTTCGCCTGGAACATTCCCTGCATACCTGATTCTTCCTTGTCAATCAAGTCTCAACTTACATCCCTTTCTCTGAGAAGACTTCTCTAATCACTCAATCCCAAATAGTTGTGTCACCCAGTCACTCCAATCACTATTACTTCACCTTGCTGTCTTCACAAACCTAACATTATGAAACATTAACTTATTATTTTTTAAACTGTTTTGTAGTTGTAGATGGACAGCATGCCTTTATTTTGTTTATTTTTATTTTTATGTGGTGCTGAGGATTGAACCCAGTGCCTCACACATGCTAGGCAAGCATTCTGCCACTGAGTCACAGCTCCAGCCCCTGGAACATTATTTTATGTATTTACTTATTTATGCATTTACATATTTACTATGTTCACTGCCTGTCACCTCAGACTAGAAAAGCTCCACAAGGAGCTCAAATTCACAAGTACACCTCCAGTTCCTGGCAGAGAGTAGGCACTCAAATATTTGCTGATTAAATAAATGTGTACCAAAAATATGTACTGCTAACTTATAACCTCTTAAAAACCTCTGAACAGGGCAGGAATTTCCCAGTGCAATGCTATAAATGCCACTTTATTGAACTTTTCCCTATGGTGAGAGGGTGTGACTTCCTGTCAAGTTCTTACACCATCTTTGTTCTGAATGTGGTAAAGGAAAAACAGGGGTTTCAACATATCACTTGGGATTTTCCCCACTTATGGTTCAAACTGAAGTCTGAGACCATGGGAATCAGGTGAGGCTGCAACCCCCCAGCCCCCTTTGGTGGTGCTGGGGATCAACCACAGGGCCTTGTGCATGCTAGGCAAGCACTCTACCACTAAGCTACAACACCAGCCACAGGATGTGAAATCTTTTACCTGACACTTGTGATTCTACAAAGAATCCTTCATCAAATAAACAAACAAAAAATAAGTTATCAGTCAGCTAACAGAAGGAGAAAAATCCATTATTGGTCAATAATCTACTGCTGTTTGGAGAAAATCAACACAAAGAATTGAAGCAAGAATCTTCCTCCGCTAAAGTCAAATGTTACATCCTATTCTCCAGGTTTTCTTTATCATTCACTCCCAGGATGAAATTATCTGCTGAGATAACAATATCCAGGAAGACCCAGGAAATCTCTGGACTAAGTGACTTCAATTTTAGTTCTGAACACTTAACAAGCAGAATGTGAGCTGAACTTTGGAAGAAAAGCCAGTTCTTCAAAGACTTACTCCCAGGGTTCTGTAGGAGAAGCCCGCACAGCTTTTACCCCAGCCTTCACCCAACATAGACTTTATCCTAAGGAGCTTCATCATAATGAGCATTTATCCCTAAGGAGCTGTGTGGCTCTGTAGGGGAATGGGAAGGGGAGGCAGACTGGTGGGGCTAGAAGTGTTTTTCAGAATCTAGTTCACAGATCACCTCCATCATAATCACAGGAGTGCATATAAAGGTGCAGATCCCAGGGCAATGCCCAGCCCTACGGAGTTAGGACCTTTGGGAAGGAGGCTTTTAACTTGCCTTCCCACACACAACCTTTTTCTTATGCATAGTAAAGTCTGAGAAACAGTGGGATAGAAGGACGCGAGAAGAGGCAGGAGCTCATTGAAAAAGACAAGGGGTAGGAAAGGATCTGGGAATGGAAGATAGCGGTGGGCTAGGGGAGGGTGTGCTCTGCGTTATCAGCAGTCAAGAGGGGTGTGTGATGGGGACAGTTGAGGGTGGAGGTGAGAACAGAGCTTAGACTGGGAGGCTGGTCCGAAGCGAGGTCGCAGCAGCGGACTGGCCAGGACGTTGGGGAGGCGGGGAGAACAGGGTCTGGACGTGAGGGGGAGGAGCGAGGGTGGAAAAAACGGGGATTCTTCGGGGGGTGAGGGCTGAAAGGTGAAATGGGGAAGTGGGGATCACTGGGGGCGGGGACCAAAGTAGGGCTGGGAACCCAGCGGAGGCAGTAGCCGAGGTCTTCCTCCGAAAAGGCGCCTCTACTAAAACTCCGGGCCTTGACAAGCCTGAATGCGGGGCCAAGACCCGGGAGGGGGAATTGGGAGGAGAGCCCAGTCAGGAGTAACCTGAGCAGGGGTTCTGAAAGTGGCTTGGCACCAGGCATGGGGTGCCGGAAGGTCCTGGGATACCCGAGAGGGCCCTGCCTCAGCTCCGGCTCCCGGAGTCTCCTTCACTCACCATCGCCGCCGCCATCTTGGATCCACGTGTCGCCGTGATGACGTCAGCGGAAGTGGTGCTTCCCTGGTTACGGACTTCGAGTCCTCGAGGTGGTCTATCAATTCCAATCTCTCCTGTCGTCGCGGTCAGCGAAAAGGCAAAGGAGACTTAACTCCTGCAAGACAGGCTAGTCCGAGCAGTCATGTCACTGACGAGGTGGAGAGAGAGGCTGGTGTAACTATTGGAGCCATATTAGCTCCTGGCAGAGACGGCGCCTCCCCTACTCTCGCTGCCTTGTGGGTAATGGAGTGTGCGAAACACGCTTGCTCTCTGGGTGCCATCTTTACTATTGGCAGAAAGACCCGTTGCCAGGGTTACCGAGACCTTGATAGAAGGAGGAGGGTGCTCCCGCAGCGGCCGAACTCTGAGAATAATCTGCAATTATGTGTTTATTTGCTTGACTAACATATATCCTTTCTAATAGACTATCCTCTGCAGGAAGTTAGGGTCCTGTCTTTTATTTTACCTTGCTCTACTTCATTGTCATCTGTAAAACAAGGAAGGGATTATAGTAACTCCATCCTAGGCTTCTGATGAAGATTCAGTCACATATGTTACATAGGATGCGTTCAATAAATAATTATCATTATATGCTTAGCTATACTCCTTCAGGCTTATAGTAGATGCGAACGGTACACTATGTATTAAATGAATGAATAAATGAAATGCAGCATATTTAGTGGAGGGAGACATCTTTGAATATGGACTTCACCATGTTTGACTAGCTAAGTGTGTGACTTGAGGCAAGTCACTAAGTCTTGCTGAACCTTCGTTTCCAATACTGGTAAAAAGAGACTCAAATCATCATGGTATTAAGATTGAGAGAGCAAGGCCCAGAGGTACATACTTATGATCCCAGCGACTTGGGAGGCAGAAACAGGAGGATCCAAGTTCCAGGCTGGCATCAGCAATTTAGTGATACACTTGTTTCAAAATAAAAAGGGCAGGGGATGTAGCTCAATGGTAAAGTGACCCTTAGTTCAATCCCCAGTTCCCCGCCCCCTCAGCAAAAAAAAAAAAAAAAAAAAAAAAGATGGGAAAGACCTCAAAATTCATTTGGTCTATGCATACCACTGTAAATTGGATATCTCGTTATATGTTTCAAAAAGTTGTTAAAAGAATAATCATTAGTGATAATAATCAGCATTGACTGAATATTTGTTGTGTGCAGTAGCATTTAACATTATGCAAAAATAGTTCCTAAGACTCTTAGTTATCTAATTCTACCTATTGGCAGGGGGACCAGTGAACTTTGGTCCCCACCTATGAGCACCCTGGTGAATTTTCTGCAAAGATGGCTACCAACAAGCCCTTCCATCCTTTCATGAGAATACGGTTTCTCCCTCCAAAAAATAAACTATTATCCTCCCATCGAATATGACTGGTCAAATCCCTTGCTTTGCAATAGAATGTTATACAAGTGGCTGCTGCTTCTGAATCTAGGCCTTATGAGGTGTGGCAGCTTTTGCTCTACCCTCGTAGGTGCAGAGAAGTCTGACTACCCTGCTGGAGAGCCATGTGGAGAGACACAGAGGGCAGTCAATTCCTCAAGACATTCTGGAAACTCCAGCTGAGCACTACACATGTGCCCACACATTCCAACCCCAGCTGAGCTACCAACTAAATAGAGCTGCATGAATCACCTCAACAGCACCAGGAGGAACAAAAGAACTGTCCAGCTGAGCCTAGTTGTTTTAGCTTTGGGGATTGCTTTATTATGGTGTAGTAAATCATTGAAACTGGTGACCTGCACAACCATCCTAAAAGGTAGTAGATCAGATATTATCCCTAAGAGGGAAGAAGCTTGAGAGACAAGAGGGATTTGTCATTGTCACAGTAAAAATAGATTCCAAACTTGTAACCAGTTCTGGAGCTTGGGTTCTAGAGGTTTCTTCCCATTTCTGGCTGCCCAAAGAGGACTGACTGATAAAGAACAAAGCTCCATAAATGGCATATTAGTCCTCAATATTTCCATGTTTCCCCTCCTCATGCTTTGTATTTTTTTCCCCAAAGAGCTTCCATATCCCAGTCTCCTTTGGTGACATAAGCTGTAATATATGATTATGCAGGAAGAATTGCATAAAGGCGAAAGTCCCTAAGGCCCATGAAAAGCAGAATGCAGCTCTGGTTGGTTGCTTCAAAACGGCCTGAAAGTGGCAGCTAATGTTGCAAATAGGGCTTGAATTTTAGTTTTGTTAGCGAAACTTTTCTGTAAAGAGGCAGAGAGTAGAAAGTTTAGACTTTGTCAACATATGGCTGCGTCATGACTGCTCAGCTGCCATCTTGCTACAATCCATGCATAATGGGCTTGGCTGCAGCCCGAGAAGTTTGCCAAATCCTGGTCCAGATATAAAGTGATGGAGAAACTGTTCACATTGTAGATGGTACTTATATTGTGACCAGCATAAAACTGTGACTTTGGGAACTCCTACTTTATTCAGCAAAGTTGTTCCTGTCTTTGATTCAAGAGTCGGGTTCTGATAGGTCTTATTATTTCACTTTCATCTTATTCATTAATGCAAGTGAAACTATCAAACTTAATTCATGCTGGAACTATACTAAGAAAGTATGTTGTCAACCAGGTTACCACTCTGGGCAACCAAAGCTCAACCCTGGCGCTGGGGGTGAGCTCAGTGGTAGACAGCTTGCCTAGCAAGTTTGAGGCCCTGGGTTGGATTTCCTGCACAATGATAGCAGTAACAACAAGCTTGATCCCATGAGGAAACGCTGGGAAATAATAGTTATTCTACCTGGGAAGGGAGCTGGGAGTCACTAATAGAGGACTGCTCCCCAGGCCCTTAACTCCTACCTACTCTCAGCCTCCTGGGAACCCCTGCAACTGAGGCTTTTTGCGGTTTCCAGAAATATAAGCCCTCAGGCATAGTAATGCAAAAATGACAGCAGAAAGCCCAGTCCACTCTAAGGGATAGGAGCACATGCCACACCCTCTGATGTCAAAGTCTGGAGGAGGACTGTCCAGGCTGGTATGGTACCCTAAAACATCCTCAGGGGTCTAGGCTCTATCCAACTTGTCAGCCTTTAGAGTTGGTTCATTTTCCTCAGGGTCTAAATTGGCAGCTAGAGCTCCAGCCTTCACACACACACTTTCTAGGCAGCAAGGCAGAGGAAGAGATGAGAAATGAGGGCAAAGAGCCTATACCAGTTGTCTCTTAAGAAAGGTTCCTGGAGAGCTGTGGATGTGGCTCAGTGGTAGGGCACTTAGCTAGCATGAGTGAAGCTCTGAGTTCAATCCCTAGTACTGAAAAAAAAAATTCCTGGAATCTTCTATAACATACTTAAACTTATAACCATAATTATCAGAACTTAATGATGGGGTCATGTTTTGCTGCAAAAAGGGATTGGAAAATGTAGCTTTCATTCTAGGTGGTTATGCTCTCATGAAATAATTTTATTTCCTGCTGGGTGTGATGTCCCACACCTGTAATCCCAGTGATTTGGGAGGCTGAGGCAGGAGGATTGAAAGTTCAAGGCTAGCCTCAGCAATTTAGTGATACCTAGTCTCAAAATTAAAAAAAAAAAAAGGTTGGGGGTGTAGCTCAGTGGTAGAGCTCTCTGGGTTCAGTCCCCAGTAACACACACACACACACACACACACACACCCTCTTCCATTTCTCTAGAAGGAGAAACGTGGATATGGAGATGACCAGCAGTCACTGCCATCGCCTAAAAGGGAAGGAATGCAGATAGAGTGCAAATTGCTAAGAGCCTGTCAGAATATACCATAATGGGGACAGATGTGTGACAAAAATTAAGGGCCCACGTAGGGGACTAAGGAGGCAGTTGTATTCCAGAGCACAGGAGAAGATTGAAACAGAATGCTGAAGCTCAGTGCCAAGCCAGGGTGAGACGAAGCAGGCCGTTTTGGCCTCAGATTGGAGCATCTTACTTGCCTTTCTTTGCCACCATCCGGGGGAGGATTCCATGCAGTTTTCCCTCAGAACAAGTAACATAAAAAGTATTCCCATGCGCTTTGTATAATTGTCAGACTTAATTTTTAAGAGCAGTGCCATGGTTTGAATGTGTTCTCCAAAATTCGTGTGTTGAATTAGTCCTCAATCCCATAGTGTTGAGAGGTGGGACTTAAGAGTCAATTTGGCCATGAAGGTTCTGCCCTCACGCGTGGAGGAGAGGGGTGAGTTCTCCTGAGACTTGGCTTCTGATACAGATGATACAGATACTCCACCCCTCCCCACACAGTGCTCGGTTCCCCTTCTGCCTTCTGCCATGGGATGATGCACCAAGAAGGCCCTGGCCAGATGAGGGACCCTCAGCCTTGGTCTTCTCAGCCTTTAGAACGATAAGAAATAAATCTATGTTCTTTACATTTACCCAGTCTCAGGTATTCTGTTACAGCAGCAGAAAGGGAGTAAATAGTTTAAGTACACAGAAAAATGAGTGGAAATTACAGTTCTAAAATAGCCCTTCATCTGCCCCCGATTTCCATTATTATTAACATCTTGTGTTGGTGTGGTGTGTTTGTGACAACTGACAAACCAATGTTGAAATACTACTAAAGTTCATATTTTACAATAGGGTTCACTCTTTACGTCCTATATTTTGTATGGGTTTGGACAGCTGTATGATGATATGTAAGCACCATGGTAATATCAACAGAAAGGTTTCACAGCCCTCCAAATGCCCTGTGTTTCACCCATCCATTCCTCCCTCCCTTTCTCCACACTCCTGGCAACCCTTAATCTCATTACAGCCTACATGGTGTTACTTTTTAAGAATGTCATATAGATGGAATCTACAGCAAATGACCTTTTAAATTTGGTTCCTTTCACCTAGCAACATGCATTTAAAATTTATCCATCTCTTTTCATAACTCATTTCTTTTTAACACTGAATAAAATTCCATTATATGGATGTATCCATTTGCCTATGAAAGGAAATCTTTTTTCTTTCTTTTGCTGTTACATCTCAGTCCTTTTTTTTTTTTTTCCGGACAAGTTCTCGCTACGTTGCTGAGGCTGGCCTCAAACTTGCAATCCTCCTGCCTCAGCCTCCTGAGTCACTGGGATTACAGGCTTGTGCCACTATACCCAGCTTCAAAAGATATCTTGATTTCTTCTGAGTTATGGTATTTATGAATAAAGTTTCTCTGAACATCTCTGTGCAGGTTTTGTGGGACATAAATTTTCAACTCAAATGGGTAAACACCAA